TTACATTACTTATTAATTGTATAGATAGGTACTTTGATTTGCAGCTGATAGTTAATTTATAAAAATATGGTGAGGGCCCCTCCCTTGATGTACAATGTCATGATATAATTTAAGCACTTCAGTGCAATATTAATGTATATTAACTTTATTTGAAATGAGTCACGCTTTTACAAAATATTATGCTTAGAAGGAGTAAGTTCCAAACTTTTATAATTATTGATGTCTTATATTTTTTAGAAATGATAAATAATAATATTTATAATATTTATAAAACAATCTTTTTTTTTCACTAAACACAAGAACCTAAAATTACCTGCCATGTATTATTTCTAAATAATTATTTTTGCACTGTACTCTGTAGRCAAAGCATATCTGCACCCTAAATACAACATAATATATCTATATCATACATACAATTTACAATTAAAGTATTAATTTGGAGTATATACAATATTTGAATAAATTAATAATATCATAATACGTAACTAATCTTAATTAATCCTAATTAACCTTTTAACATATATTGTTAGYCACATTTAGCCATGATAAACACAAAATTTATAATTGCCCGGGAGCCTGTTGTCAACACATAGAAACATAGATGAAGTGAAGAGCCAATTTAACATGGYTACACGCTGTAGTCGTAAACGGGCAATGGGCAGACATAGTTCACACTAAAATAAGACACTAAACTATAGTTTAATATTGCGAATGAATTAAAAATATTATTCTAGATGCTTGTTGACGCTACCTCTTAATTATAATATTATAATCCAAATGACGCATCTGTCTCAAATAATCCTATATTACCTATTTTRTCGCATTACTATACTTATGTACCTATACGATATAATCTACCACTTACAAGTTACAAGGCACCTGCTCAAACCCAGCCAAGAATAGAAACCTCTATAAGACAATAGACCACTGGGTCAGTCTGCCACTGTAGGTAAAAATTATTGAACAAATAAAATATTTGTAAAACATTAAATAAAAAGGTTAGAATTTTAGTTTATGGCAAATTTTTAGTTCAACCTAAGAGCTTTTTTTCTTTAGTTTGAGATCAATTCATAAGGACTTGTTATATGAGACTTACTTATGAGAAAACTTGTAAGAAGAAAATTAAAACTAATACAAAAYYCGGAAATAATTTGAGCAGAAATGTTTAGAAACTTTTACTATCGTAAACAAATTATGTCTACAAAAATTGTTTTAAGACCTTAATAGTCTACACTTATAGATAACTATAATATACTTACGTCCAAAACATATTCTTGAATGATGGCATGGAAAATGATACAAATCAAAAAATAGAAGAATATAGTAAACAAATCCTTTAGACCGGTACCATATGTCTGTAAGGAATCAGGTCTGGAAGCTTGGACATATTGTAAGGCTACAAACAATGAAGACACCGGTGAAGTTAACTGCAATGCAAAACAATATACAACATGATACAACAACAATAAAAAATAAACTGCAACCYATGACATGAGAAATTAGTTAYGTTGCCTTTTGCTTACCTGGACCATGAGACCGATGACGATGACCATGGCCACACAGGACATGATGTCTGCATGGTTTTGAATGACGAACTCGTGACTGAGTATGGGCAAATTCTTGTTGGTGGCAGATTTTCTGCCTTTGATTGGGGCCATTTTCGAAATGGCACTCAGCAGCTGGACAATTATATGGGGGTTTAGCCACGTACGGACTTGGCACTAGACGGGACAGTTGATGAAAACACGTCGGCAAACGGAGCTGTAAGTACGGCGGTCGGCGATCGAGTGTGACTGATGGACTACATTGGAGATCAGAAAGTGGTCATAGTTGTTGGCACCCGGACCTGAGTGTGTGGCAGTTGCGTTGGCTGCTTACAGGTTGCTGATGTGTCAATATAATACACCTGTCGGCGTGTGTTTACATTTTCCGTTTATTTTTTTATTGATAACGTCGGCGGTGACTAGTGATAACCACKTATCGGTGAGTCGTAGTGCGTTTCACGACAGCTAGATGTCACGTAAAGCCATAGACCTTATACTCAGTGTAAGGTCTATGCGTAAAGCGTCCATCAACTATAACTTATAAGAGATCATCTTCACATCAACAGAACATCTCTAATCTCWATTCTCTACATCTCGTCAATTGTTACTAGTTATATAATAGTTGTTATTTATTAGCAACGATCATTATTTTATCAGTAATTAATAAACATTAAAATATGGGTGTAATTAATCAATTCTTATTATATATTATTAAAATGTTATTAGCACCGTACAATTAATAGCACTAAAATAATATGTAGATAATATTGCTACCATAGACATTATAAAACAACTAGATAGTAGATAGTCGACTGTAAATTACTAAATTACATTCCAATAAGAACGTTGAWGTCGGGCCGCCATAATATGCCAACAGGGCAATGTTTACATAATAACTCAATAGATAAGATACCTATATTGATAAGTGATAATAAATAATAATTCAAATAATGAAAAAACGAATTTCTTTTCATATTCTATAGTCAAAATGTCAAATACAAATTAAATTACATAAAGTAGTAATAAGTACATGATATACTACAGTACAAATATTAATTATATTAATTATTTTGTTATCATTAATAAATATCCTTATCAACCATGCGATTTTATAAACATTGCCCTGTTGGCATAATATGGCGGCTGACTTCAATATTATCCCGTAGTCGGCTATCTATATAGTTGTGTTATATGTCTATGATTGCTACTWAGTACTTACTACCACGAAGCAGTGTTCGGAACGTTCACTAAAAAAATGAATTCGTTCACGTTCTTTGTAAAAATGAACGCGTTCATTAGGTCGTTCATATAATTTTTTGTTTATAAATAGTTTACCAGCAGTTTGTATAAAAACCCATAAACCCAAAACAATAAAAACAATTTAGACTTTAGAGCATATTATATTGTTTTTTATACTTATTACTTAAAACATAGCATGGTGTAAAATATATAACTATGATTTCTGTAGACTGTAGAGTACGGTTTAAGATAKTATATRGATTGCACATAGGAATCCTATGATAGGAATATGAATACATTATCATCTATTATGTTAAGATGACTGCCAACTGACTTCCTAACTGAATTGAGTTCCGTATATTATATAGATAATATAATAATAAATGTATTATATTAAATCGTGAAATAATAAAATTACAGTTAGCGCTACCCTTGAAAAGTTAATGGTGTAAGTTAAAACCGTGGTGTAAGGTGCGTCTTTTTTCACAGCTAATTTTATGAGTCGATTTCACAGTGACAAAGACTGATATATAGTCAAAATTTAATCATTTTGGACTTTTGGTATAGCTAGCCGCTAGGTGTTGTGCGACCTATATATTTTAAATCGTGTTGTAGACTATGATTCTTAAAGCGAGGCGTAGATGAGAAAGTTTATTATTAATATTATCAATACTATAACCCTGATTAAAGATAAAATCATGATGGGTACTTAATACCTACTACCTTTAAAACACTTCATGATGGATATCAAATCATACGACGTTTGTGAGTTATAAGAAGTTTTAGGACTCGAGACTCGTTATATAGAGAATTAGAAACCTCAAAAACTGTGCGAGCGTTAAACTTTAATAATGCCACTGTTCTTTCTTTATAAACAAAATTTATCTACCTAGATACTATTTAAGTTGACGTTACATTAAAAAATTCTTTTTTAAACAATTATCATATATATTTTATTTAATATATAAACGATGCTACGAATAATACAAAATACAAATCCAACAGTTTTAGTTAATATTTACGAAGTATTAAGGGCAAAGGCACAGAATAATTACCTACTTTTCTTAAAAACTTATCAGTTCATAATGCTTTAGCTTAAGTTTAGGTATTTGTGTTCCCTATTAATACTTTAAATGTTTAAACAATATGTCTTCATTTTATTATTGTACACCAACTACCTAACCAATAATAATTCATGATTTTTCGGTTGTATCTAGCTATTATTGTCACTATGTACAATTTTAGAATTTTGAGTTAACTAATATTTACGTATTTGAAAAAAATGTAAATAGTTAATTCTAAAAAGCGTAAGTGAATGTCGCTCTGCTATATAGTATAGTTTACAAGTAGATCACTGTAATGGATGATGGTACCTACCTATATTAAATATGAATTCAATAATATAATATCATTGCGTATACGAAAAACGGTTCTGTACGAAGATGGTACCTATTACCTATATGTATATCAGTTTAGGATATTTTAACTGAAAAATTAAAACTAAACATTTTCAATTTAATACATTTTGTCTAAATTTAAACTTTTACCAGTTATAAAAAAACACGTCTTTGTATTTTCAATATTTCCCAACTTCTATTATATCAACTTATGGGGAATATTACATTTTTAATCTTATTTTTACACAGCGAATAAAATTGTATTGATATTTATGGAATTAAAACCAAAATAAATTTCAAATTTCAAATGTCTATAAACAATTTAAAAAAGAGGAAATATTTTGAAAATTTTATCAAGTATAAGAATTGATCAAATAAATATAATATGATATAAATTTCAAGTTTCTACAGTGATTTGCTTTTGTATAACAACAAAATAAGAATATTGGCATACGAGAAATTGAATGAATATTGAATTATGTTAAAACCTGAAATTCAAACGCTTATAAAAATTTAATTTCACTCTCTATATTAGACATTTTTTATTTAAKAAAAGTAGACGAACTTATAAAGAATTTCGTATAGAATATTCAAATCTTAGGTTTAAAAATATAAATTCTCATGAATTTCTAATTTAAAATAATTTGCACATGTTCTTGATTTTTACATATTTTGTCAAGATTCGAACTTAAAATGCTTATGAAAAAAATGTGACTATTTATTCCTAATATTTTTTAATTACTATTGTAACAATATATTGGAGATTTGTATTACATTTTTAAACTTTTTATCCAACGAATATCATACTAATTATTGACATTTATAGAAAAAATAAAACTAAAAAATAGAAAATATCTATAAATGACTTAAAAAATTTTGAAAATTTTATCAAATATAGGAAATGAAAATATATAATGAAAATTTCAWGTATTTACAGTAAATTATTTTAGAGTTAAACCAAACTTCAAAATCGATTTGATTAAAAACATATTTTACTTAAAAATTCCCGTTTTCCCTTGTTTTTTGTTTTTGTTTCTCCCGGCACTTTGAAATATTATTGAGARTTTTTACCTCCCCAACGCACCAACTAGATTCACTTTTCCATMGGAAAAGCTACTGAAGTTGAAAATCGAAGCATTATTTCGACTATTTATCGTGTTCATAGACAAAAAGATTATAAATAAAAAACACACATCATTGTAAAATCATTCATCGCATCTCTCCGCTCAGAATCTAAATATAAAACAATTTGTTGGATATACTACAACACAATATGTTCAAAGACTTCGATTTTCCTAATAATTTATGAATCTTCTATATTAGTTTACATATTACAAATTAAGTACACCGCGGGGAAAAAGCATTTGACAGTGGGAAAAACTGACAGATGTCAGTTTGTGTATTTGTATTTGTGATCTTATAATATATAATATAGGTATGGGAGGTATATGCATCATCTTAATATTCAGTTTGAATTTATTAGTATACTATAAATATGCAAAATTATGTAAGTTTTGAGTTTACTATGTGAGTGCCTACTACATACCTATACTTAGTGACTGATCCATAAGTAAGATAGTWGGTGGTTACTATAATGGATGTGTTAATTTTTTTTTTTTGCAGGCTTTTGAACAACTCCGAAGCAAAAACTATTAGTTATAATTACTAAGATAATATATTAAATTACACCTAATTATAATTAAATAATCTTGTGTTAAATTTTAATTAAATAATAAAACAGTGTACATGATAAATGCTTCTCAGCAGCAAGTGGATTGGCCTAGATTTCTAACAGGATATTTTATATTATTTTATACTTGAATTGTTTTACGAAACTTTTTCTATGTTATTCTGTACGAGAAAATACACTCGATGAAAACTGGTTAACTCATAGGGGAACTGGTTTCGATAGCAGAGTGACGTGGACACGTGGAGGATGAGCAAAATCAGCGTGTTGTTTCACTGAACAAAGTATCTATGTAAGTTTTTTTTATGGTGGTTGAATCGTAACCTAACTTAATTTTAACAAAAACATATCCAAATTTACAATATCACTGGTCYAGTTTACATTTTCCCAAAAATGTGTGAGTCGCATATTTTTTGTTTCCAAAAGGATTGTTTGACACTTGGCCCTTCTATACAGATGAAATTATGCGTGTAATTTTATGTGTACTATTATGATGACTACAATTTTTACCAAACTAATAGGCATTGTTGACACAARGATAAATTGACACAAATTTCCTCGCAAATGAATTTTAAAATTTTTTTCATATATTGGATGACCTGACACCTGAACATAAAACATATCGTACATTTTAATATACCACAAATTTGTGTTCGTGTTATTATTTTTAATTGACATGTCGCCCTAAATTTTAGTTTTCTCATAACGATATAATTAATTTTAAAAATTTCGAGTGGTGAGGGAGTATTCCCCTRTTAGTACGCTGTTGATAAGGTCAATTAACATCAATCTAAAATCTTGTAACCATAAATGATAAAATCTGAGAAGACTAAGGATATTTATCATAAAAGACAAGAAGATTATGCTATAAATTAAAAAAGGTTATAACTATCTCCTGTGGTGTCAGTTAAGTCCTTAAATGTTTTTTTTTATAACAAAAAGAACCCGGGACTAATTTTAGACTAACATTAGAGGTACGCAAACATACATGTATAAATATGATGTMAAAAATAGGAAATATCTGAATTA